ATCTATCTATCTATCTATCTATCTATCTATCTATCTATCTATCTATCCACCTTTCTATCTATCTCCTTTGCATATATTATATCTTGGGGAGAGAACATGTATGCGTACAAAGATATTTTGGATTATATTTCTACTTTCAGCTGAATCCATCAGAAGCTAGAACAGGTGCCCTTCTGAATCCTGATCCAAAATAATGTATGAAAATATATTTAAGCCAAGAAATGGATGTCAGTTTAAAGCTTAACACTCTTAGTAAATTCATGAATGGGATGAGATTTATTCTGAGTACTTTCAGGCTGTCACTCATAGCAACTATGCAACAATTCCACACCAGCTTTCCGGAGTTCAGCTATCATTAAAAAAAAACAAAAAACACCTGCTGAACCGATTCAGTTATTTTATCTTTAATTATACATTGTGAACTCTTTATTCCAGAGAAGATGTAAGCAAATATTTCAAGTAGGTGAACATGACTTCAGGGAGAGGGAGATATTCAATATAAGCAAGACTTCATCCCTTTGTAATGAAATTCAATAAGCAATATCTGTCATCTCTGATTGCAGAAATAATACCACTGGCTTGAAAATAGAGTCCCCCCACTTTCTGGGAAGTGGATAAAAGAAAGTTCTTAAAGGTGTGATTTTTGTTTCTGTGTACAAAAATCCCTGATGGCAGAGATATTTCCAATCAGCAAGTCATTCTTCATGTCAGTCCCAGAGGGCAGTTCATTCCCTTTTTCTGGTAATGTAGACCATTGCAATGAATAAAGAAAAATAATATCCTCCCAGACTTTAGTCAATCACAGTCATTTTTTTAATCCCATCATGCTATCAGTCATCAGAGCCAAAATGCAAATAATGATGATTCTCTGCTTGTTCCCTGCTGTCTACAGGGACAATCATTCTCGGTCATTCTTGACATTTCATAAGTTGGACAACACCAAGTGGTTATCACGCCAAACTGATGTGCTGTTGCATAGCTACTTTATCAAAGTAGGAATAAATATGACATTAAGATTGCCTAGAATAGCAAATGGATATCTTCCCCCACTTTATTCTTTAAAATACTATAAGAGAAATGGATGACATGATTCATTTATCTTATAATATATATACACATATATTATAAGAACTAAGCTCCATATTTTTAGTGTGCTCCCTTTTCCCAGCCTGGCTAATGAACTGAGATTGCACTCCTAGAATTCAATAATCTGACTGGTACTTACTTCGGTAAGGCTGCTCTTGCTTTGAGAATTATATAAAAAGAGCATCATTTATCAAAACAATGAGAAAATGCATACCGTATATCTGTGAGCTTTCCCTTACTGTATGGAGAAAATGGACAAACACCTTATTACTATAGAGAGCCTATGTAGGTTTTCATTGAAAATAGAGTACTCATTAGAAGTAGAGAAATTATTGTGTTGTATCCCTAACCTTCTTTCTAATAAATAATGGTAATTAGAGCTTTCAAATTCTTGTTCACTGAATTAACTCTTTCCTATCTGGAGCACCAAAAAGGAAATTTAACAGGTAGGATCAAATTAAATTATAATTTTTCTTGTATTTGAACCATACTATGGGGGATAGAATAGAATAGGGCTGGAAGGGACCCTGGGGGTTTCCTAATCCAACCCCCTGTTCAACCAGGAGACCCTATATCAGACAAGTGGCTGTCCAGTCTCCTCTTAAAAACCTCCAGTGATGAAGCTCCCACAGTTTCTGAAGGCCACCCATTCCACTCTTTAATTGTTCTCACTGTTAGGGAGTTTCTCCTTAATCCCAGGTCACTTCTGTTCTTGATTCTTTCTCTCCATCCATCCATTGTTTCTTGTCTTGCTTTCTGGTGTTTTGGAAAATAAATTGGTCCTCTTTTCTTTGTGGAGAGCTTCTCAAATACTGGAATATCATGTCACCCCTAGTCCTTCTTTTCTCTAGACTAGCCTGCAACCATTCAAATTATGTAATCATTCTTCATATGTTTTAGTCTCTGGGCTTATGCTTTGCAATCACATTCATCCTGTTGGCAAATTAGTTGGCTAATTTTTACTATACCTTTCCATAATCATTGTTTCCAGCTTAACCACCTTCAGATGTATGCAAATTTCAGAGAATCCCATTCCTTCATTCTTATTAAACCCATGATACAAAGACAGAGTGCTATCTTTGGAGATACACCCAAACATTGGCTAGTCATTTTCAAATTTGTGTATATCTAGAAGGGCTATAAATTTGTTGTTACATCCCTAGAGCAAATTTTTATAAAACTGAGTGATTGCTGCTCCTGGTTTCCTGTTTCATTCTGTGTTTATTTTTCCATTTTGGGATTAGTAAAATCTCAAACTTAATGAATATTGAACATACTGAAAATTCATTTGCTCTCACTATTTTTCACTGATGTAGGAATTTAGAACTCAAACTAATAGAATTTATGAGTCAGATCTGCAGGAGGTATGTGGTGAAGGAGAAAATGCATGAATAAGCTATCACATGGTTCCTTACCACAAGATATCTCATTAGAATAATCACTGAGAGTCATTATAGACTTCAAATATCATATCTAATTAATTATGGTTGAACAGGAACCTAGCTAAATCTGAGTACCAGAAAAAACATATAAGACTTTTTCATAAAATAAAAGAATTTTATACCAAACCCCAAAGATATTTTTTCAAAAGTCAACTGGACTTTATTTGTTTTTCCTTGAAAATGTTTTGCTTCTCATCCAAGCAGCTTCTTCAGTTCTGTCTGAAAAAGCTTATTGGATGAGAAATGAAATGTTTTCAAGGAAAAACAAAGAAAGTTCAGTTGCCTCTTGAAAAAGCACCTTTGGGACAACCATTACCTGGATGACTGAGAGTCTCCATAGACATCAGTAGCAAATCCTTCCTGTGCTTGATGTACAAAGTTTTTCTGATATTAGTAAATTTGCTTCCTTGTGCTATTTTTTTTTTAAAGTCTGTTCTGCAAAATACTTCAGAAAGAACAAAGGGACTGTTAACGTTGTTCACTTTATGATATAAATTCATGTGTTTTCCCCTCTGTCTACAGGCTGTTATTGCAGGTGTCCTTATTACTCTGGCTGAGAAACAATGGACCTCAAGATACTTGGTAAATTTATGTGGCTATTCCATGCGAGGTCACATTCTAGACAGAATTAAACTAGCATAGATACAAACTGGAAAAGCATGGGGTTTTTTTTCTGCCTTAGGCTACAGATCATAGAAATAAAGTAAGATTTTCAGTATGCACAATTTAAACTATTCCACCAGGTTTACAAAACTGGGCAAGAGCTAGAGATATTTATTTCCTGACTTGAAAGAACCAATAAAAGCCACATCAAACAAATCAATTTATTTTAAACAAAATAAATATTTTGCTGCTTTTTTGATGCATAGGAAATGAATAAATGAGGTATACATTTGGAGAATATCAACATGAAAGTTCATCCTTATAAGTTCCTTAAAATATGGGTTTGAGGGCATCTCGTTGTCTTTCCAAAGAAATTTAAGGGTTTTAAATTTTTATTTTAAAGAATGTATGTGTTCTCTCATTCATCCATTTTAATGACTATATTTATTATTCTATAATATGTATGTATGTATTGTTAGGTATGTGTATGTATATTCCCAGAGACACAGAAACTGCTCCATACGATTCAAAAACATTGCTGAAAAAATTGTCCATTCAATTTTTTTGTAAGAAAAAGCCATAGTTAGAATAAGGGACTGTCAGCATCATAAAGTATCTACCAAAGCCCATAAAAACTACTGAGGTCCTATTGCCAATTTTGGAGTCACATAGCCTACCATTGTTCCTCCTACTTTCTGCTCTTGACTGTTTATGTGCCTTTTCTGATTTAATAATGAAAAAAGCAAGACAAAGAATCTATTAGTTAAAAAGAAGAAGATGGACCACTATTTCAATACACTCCCTGGTCCATTCCAAGTCCAGTTTAAAGAACTTAAAGAAAATGAGATATTCCTTGCATCAAATAAGTAGCTAGCCAATGGACAGTACACTGAAATGACATTGGTCATCATCTCATATACCCAACAGAAATACCCAACACGGGTATTTCTATTAAAACCATACTTAGAAATGAAGTATGGTTTTAATGTGCAAATTCTATACAGCTCAGCATTCCCTCATTTTTAAGTGATGTATTCTGTCCCTCATTTTGGAGGTGCTTTCTAAAATTGTTATCACCTTTCTCTGTGTCCCCAGGTATGGTTGAAAAAGTGAAGCTAGTGGCTGCAACAGTCTGATTAAAGCTATGTGGGGTGTGTGTGTGTGTTGTGCATAGTTTCAATCACAATGTTACAGCCACAAGCTTCACTTTTTCATCCAAAGCCTGAGGAAACCCCTGTTTCTCTGAACAGTAATGCAAAATTTATATGAATGGACAGTAATAATACTGGTAAAAGACTTGGAATGGAGACTTTTTGGGGCCATCCTCCAAAATCTTCAGCCAACATAACAGGAAAACCATACTTGTGAAAATGTTCATGGCTTGATTGCCTGGTTCCTGACATACGTGAACATTACATAGAAAATTGTCCAATACAATATTATTTTGGAAAGATGTGAAATGTGAAACCAAAAGATGATTTAGTTTTGAAGTTTATAGCCTGTGTTTGTGCCAATTTATACAACAGTGGATCTTGCTTCTTGGCAACAGGTGTTTAAAATTGCAGTTTAACTTTCTAAGTTGAATGTGTTTCTTTTGGTTTTTGGTAGCGTTTGTGATTCCAAAGGCATCAAAGAGCAAAACAAGATCAAGAGATACATGAGAACATTAGGCAAAAAGATTGCTTAGGAAACTTTAAAAAATAATATGACTATTTTGTCTATTATGTGATGGCCAAATGTGACAACAAACTTTTGTTTCCATTGCAGTGGGAGGCTGCTTTTGCCTTTAGCATCTTCAATGTCATCAGCTCTCCTCTTCAAGGCACTATTGCCATGGCATCTCTCCTTCTAGGCCCCTATTGCTATTATTCTTTTGCTGGGGTTTCAGGTACAAACTATCTCAGTTATGCCATTTCATCAGTTTTTCCTTACGGCAAGTTTGCTTCTTCGTGCAAAGATCCATTACATTATGAGTGGTATCACCTGGTGCTGCAAATGGTGGACTTCATCTCTGGCCTTGCCATTCTAAGTGCATCTTTGACAACTGTGGTCAAGCTCACAGCAAGACTCTTCCACTTTGGACATTTAAATGTGAGTATTAATCCAGAGCTGGAGTAGTTATTGCTTGTTGCATTAGGATTCATTCATATAGTGAGGGCTTTCTCCCAGATCCCATGGATCAATTAAAATCTTGTCCATTTTAACACGTCCTTTTGAAAGGTGGCTTTTTGTCCTTTTCCCCATGGCATTTTGTTCTAGAACAATGGTCGCCAACCAGTGGGCCGGGGACCACTGGTGGTCTGTGAGAAAATTTTGGTGGTCCACAGACAAATGTCACCCCCAGAGCACCCCCCCAAAGCAATTAATCCAGGCTGCATGGGAACACAAGGCTGCGCCACCCACATGGCCTGCGGGAACACAAGGCTTGCATCATTTGAATTACAAACAACATGAGGTAGTGGGGGAAAGCGTGGAGTGAGGAACTTGCCCCAATCTCCCCAAGCACCTTGCCTGGCCACCGGGCTGCTTCTTTTTGCTTCTTTCTTCTGCTTTTGGCTGCACTCAAGGAAAGCAGCAAAAGTCTTGCTTTCTCTCTCCCAAACTCTGCCAGAAATGAGTCTTTGGGACTGTCCAAGGCATCCTGCTCCAAGAGACTGTGCCGGTGTGATAAGTCTCACAAAGACTCATTTCTGGTGGAATTTGGGGGAGAGAAAAAAAGACTTTTGCTGCTTGGTCTGTTTTCCTTGCATGAAGCCAAAATCTCTCTCTCTCCCTCTCTCCCCCTGAGAACAGAGTTGGACATGGTATCCTGCGATCCCAAATAAAGTTCGATCGATTGGTAGGAAAATGGGATGGGGAATTTTCCTGCAGACTTTTTGGGGGATTTTCCCAGGGTCTTTGGTCCGCAGTATTTAAAATTATGAGTTTGGTGGTCCTGAGGTCCAAAAGGTTGGCAACCCCTGTTCTAGAATGTCTAGAAGATCAGAAACTTAGCTACATTGAATTAAATTTGCTTACTTAATTGCTCATGTATTCTTCTGTTTACTTTTCTCCCTTTTATATTAGTTAGTGTTGAAGTGTTAGTACCATTTTATAATGTCTTGGTAAGACCACACTTGAAATACTGCATCCAGTTTTGGTTGCCACCATATAAAACAGATGTTGAGACTCTAGAAAGAGTGCAGAGAAGAGCAACAAAGATGATTATGGGAATGGAGGCCAAAAACACATGAAGAATAGTTGCAGGAATAGGTTTTGTCTAGTTTAATGAAAAGAAGGACTAGGGGGTGACAAGATAGCAGTGTTATAATATTTGAGGAGTTGCCACAAAGAAGAGGGGATCAACTATTCTCTATCTGAAGGGAGGGCAAGAAGCAATGGATGGAAACTAATCAGGGAGAGAAGCAACCTAGAACTAAGGAGAAATTTCTTGAGCTGATTAGAATAATTAATCAGTGGAAAAAACTTGCCTCCAGAAGTTGTGGGTGCTCGAACACTAGGAGTTTTGAAGAAGAGATTGGACAACTATTTGTCTGAAATGGTATATGGTTTCCTATCTGAGCAGGGGGTTGGACTAGAAGACCTCCAAGGTTCCTTCCAACTCTGCTATTCTGTTATTTAAAGGATCCGCCTGTTCCCAATAGCCTGAGGCCATTGTGAATACTTTTATTTTATTTTTATTGATTTATTTTGTCAAGCATGTTTTAGATAACAGATATAAGTATAAACATGATAATGAATACATTAAATGGATATGAATAAAGGGGAACATTAGGACAAGGACGGTAGCCATGCTGATGCGCTTATGCATGCCACTTACAGACCTCTTAGGAAAGGGGTGAGGTCAATAGTAGACAGTCTGAGGTTAAAGTTTTTGGGGTTTGGGGAAGAAACCACACAGTCAGGTAGAGTACTCCAGACATAGATCACTTTGTTGCTGAAGTCGTATTTCCTGCAATCAGGTTTGGTGCGGTTTACCTTGAGTTTGTATCTATTGTGTGCTTGTGTATTGCTGTGGTTGAAGCTGAAGTAGTCATTGACAGGTAGGACATTGCAATGTATGATTTTATATACTATACTTAGATCGGACCGAAGGCGGTGTAGTTCTAAGTTGTCTAAGGCTATTTTTTTTTAAATAAAAGTTTTATTTAAGTTTTCACAAAACATACAAATACAAATAAAATATCTTTTTTTGAGAACAGCATGGCCCCGGGTTATCACTTCTCCATACAGACATAAACTCAATACATATTTATCTTATACATTCTAATCCATATCTTATAACTATTTCCACATTTTTATCAATAGCTTTTCCCTTTCTTTACTTCCTATAGCCTTATTTTAAATTATCTCATTCCTTTCTTAATTCAATTACATATCTTTTTCTAATTTTTAAAATCTTTCAAATCAATGTTTTTATACTTTTGTCTGTCCTGTTTACAATTTCATATTATCTTTTCTCATAAAATAAATTTTCACCTGTAATTACTAGACTGGAGTGTAACACCTTTATATCTTTTTTCAAATCTTATTTAAAAATTTAAGTTACATCTTTACAGTTATAACATTCATTTTCTAATCTCTATTTTATAACACATACCTATTTTCAATCGAATTCTGCTTGGTACCTTCCCTTAAAATACACACTAAATTCTTTTAAAAAAGTATATATGTATATATATATCTGTGTATATATGTATAACAATAGTAAATGGAATAATTATTCTATTCAAGTACAGCTCTGCCATTAATATTAATAACAATCTTTTACATTTCTATTTCTTTTAACAAACATTACCTAGTAATATCAGTTGTCTTTCACTTTAATCATCTATATTTCATATTTTACTTATTACTGTCTTTAAATAAAAAAACCAAACAATAGTTATTAACAGTAGTCAATAAAGTTATTATTCTTATTCAAGTTCATCTTATCAACTGTTAAAAATCTTCCATGTTTCTTTTCAGTTTTTTTTTAAACGTTCTTTTTAAATCATTGAGAGCCTTATTCTCTTTACAAACAAATATTCCACTACACATCAATAGAATTGTTTTCTATCACTTTAATCATCTAACATATTATATAATAATGCTATCCCATACACCCTTGCAGAATCCTCTCCTTAAGTTAAATTTTAACCATTGTCTCTGTGTCTTTTAAACAGGTTTATACCTTTAATTCTTGTACATTTTTCCTGTACCTCTATATCTTGTTTCTGTCTTTTGTAGCTTCTTTTCCTTTCCCTCTTCCCTCTCTTCTTCTCCCTCCCCTTTTTATTCCCTTTTCTATCTGATTCTCCCTTCTGTGATTCTCCCTTCTGCTTCTTCCTGATATTATGATTACTTTTCAAATTACTCTTTTTTTTTTTTGGTTGTTGCTTCAGTGCTTAAGTTTTTAACTCCCTTCCCCCCCTTTCACTTTTTTACCCCGCTTAAAATTGCTTGGTCATTAAAGATGGCTTCTTCATTTTCCTGCCCTTCTTCTTCTGCTAGCGTTTCTTGTTGTTTTTCATAGTTCAAGATCTCAATTTCTAAAAATTGAAATACGAAGCCAAAAGATCCTCTTCCGTCTTGTGCGTCTTCTTTTTGTTCTTTAAGTCTCATTTTTAACTCTTCAAGGAGTGATGCCATTTGAAAAAAATTTAAACAACCCCCAATTGATTTTATTTTATTTCATTAGGATCCTCCATCCAAAGTTCCAGGAATCATCCAATAATCCAAAGCTGTTTCTTGCTTCTTTTCTCACGTTCTCTTTCCAGAGGCTTTGTTCTCTTGTAACAAAGTTTCAGCTACAATGTATCTTTTGCAAGCCTTGTTAAAATTCCACTATCATTTTTTTTTTAAATTCCAGGTGGTCTCCTCCATTTTCGAGATTCTCTCTTTTTCCTTTTTCTCTCCACTGCTTTCTTTCTTTTTTTAAAAAAAGTTTTTAAATTATCCAAGAATCTTTTATCCCTTTGACACTTTATTTTCAGCTAGAAATAGCCTATTAATGTCAAAGTGGATTAGTATCAATTTCTTATTCGAATCTCTTCTTCTTAATGTTCCAAGTCAGTTAAAACTGTCGATGATAGAGGAAAAAAAGCCAATTCCATTTCCTTTCCCTTTCTCTTTCGCAGCTTAAAATCTTTTTTAGGTATAGTATTAGTCTTTAAAATTCAGGTTCCAGGTACCTTTAATAGATGTTCTCCATTCAACCCGGTCAGTCAGACTTTCTCCTTTAAACCTCCACCTGCACAATCTTGTCTGGTTGGGTTCTTCTTTGAGGTGGCCATTTCTGACCACCGCTGCAACCGCCTTTGGGAAAGGGAGTGATGGCCAGCTGAGAAGGAGAGATGCAGCTCTTCTCAACCCCGCTGACGGATCCCCCTTCTTCACCACCTCTACGGGGTGGCTTCAACCCCGAATCCGGGCGGCTTGGGGCGCTCCAGCGGCGAGCATGGATCAAAACCGTGGACGATCGCGATTTTGGTCCGTCGTTGAAGAAGCCCAAACCGGAAGTCCATCTAAGGCTAAAATTTCAAGTGTGGTGGCCTAAGGTATTCTGTTGCAAATAGAGGAGCAGAGGATTATCTCATCAGTGTCTATCTCATATACTATCTCATCAGTGTTTCTTAAAGTGACAAGATGCTGTTTCAAACTGAAACCTATCGACCCTCCTTGTACCTCATGATGTCATATAGGAGGAGTCAATGAGATGTTCACTTGTTGGATCCACTGGGAGAAAAATTCTCATTTTTTTCCTTTACAATAGGTGGTGGCTTCCTTGTGCAGTGTCTAGCTAGGGTTCTTTCTTCTGACTCTTCTTTTGTACTCTTGTATTTTTTTCTTTTGCATCTATAGCTGAACCTATCTTAAATAAAATTTAAATTCTTAAAAAAAAAATATTAAAATTTTCACTGGAATTTGTCTTCCTGTAACTTAAATCTATTCCTTGTATGGAACAAGACAGTCCATGCTTTCCTCTACATGTGGTGGCGGCATAAGGTATTCTGTTGCAAATAGTCAGTTCTTAAACCTGAGTAATTATCTCCAGAGGGGTAATTTGGATGAATCTTGGGAATAATGGATCAGTTTGCAATTGATTGTTTGTGACTTAAAAATCCAGTTTGGAAATG